TGCAAGCATCAAGCAGGGTCAAATCATAAGAACTAATTTTCTTATATTGGGGCTAGAATTAAATGCAAGCCAAAAATTCATTCATGCATCTATGGTTTACGTATGTCTCTGATTTACCCTAGAGGCACTATTGTCATTTTATGGTAGAAAACAATAGTAATCATTCCTGTTGGGGCATCATTCCACTACCATCAAGTCAATGCCGAATCATTGTGACCTTATAGGGTAAGATAGCACTGCTCCTGTGAGTCTCTGGGTCTGCACATTTTCATAGGAGTAGAAAAACTCATCCTTCCCCTGCAGAGCTGACTGGTGGATTTGAACTGCTGACCTTGCAGTTAGCAGCCCAATGTGTAACTGCTAGGAATTGATAGTGCCATTCGTTTAGCCAGTGGTATAGAATATAAAACACTGTTGAGAAAATGAAGTTTTAGGAGGATAGGCCAGCTATGAACCACAGTACATGAATTATTGACTTGTATAGGTTGAACGCTTAAGTGACTGGATACTGTTGATAGAAAGAGTGGAAGTTGGTGATAGGGAAAATATTCCAATATTATCCATTTATCCTCACTTTCAAGGAACATGCTGGCCATTTTATTTGTTCATTCTTCTGGCTATCCATGATATATTCGATGTTCTTCACCAAATTACAGAACAGGAATATGAAACTGGGGGAGGCGGGTGGAACTACCAGGCCAGGAGCCAGGAGCTTGGGCATGCCTGGTAGAAATACATACATTTAAATCTTAATTCCAGTTACTCTTAACCAGGTTAGGGAAGAAGCTTGTTTAATATTGCACCTTGAAAGTGTGTCTTTGCTTTCTTGAAGATGCTACGACTGATCTTCCTCAGACACTAAGCTGAATCCTGCTTTCCTCCGATTAATCGATGGGGCGGGCAGACGTGCACCTGCCTGTTGCCTAACACCTCGGACATTCCCAAAGTTGTATGGAACAGACGACAGCCGGAGTGAGGGGAATGCTTTTGAAGGATGAGTGCTGTGTGGAGTTCAGCTCAAAGTGATGGAAACTCCTGCAGCACCCACTGTGCTGGGAGCCAAGAAAACAAAGCTAACTGAAAATGGACCAAACCTACAGGGTGTCCCTGCGAGGGGCAACCGGTGAATGCACTGGGCTGCGAACCAAAATAGTGGAGGTTTGACACCTTGAAAGAAAGACTTCTGCTTCCCCAAACACAGCCGCTGAGCGCTCTGTGGGACACAGCTCTACACGGACACACACGCCTTCACCTTGAGCAATGACTGGGGGTTTATCCTGCTGGAAACCTAGCCCTTGGAGAAGACAGACATCCAACTGAAACAGGTAAGCATCGGCTAGATAGACACTATATAATAATGAGTACGTGGAACAATAAAACAAAAACAGTCCAAGTAGAGGATGGTTAACTAATCTGACATAGAGTGCTATAAATATATAAGCAATGATAAGTTAGGAAAAGGGTAGATTCTTGCATCGATTAATTCTAGCTAATGTCAATCCAAAGCATTGAGAAGGACCCCAAACATTTGTAGGATTTGAGTAGTGCCTGGGGCTACCTGATACAGACATTTCCCCTCATACTATGGGAATCTTAATATGAAAGAGTAAATTTGTGCCATGAAAATGCCCCCAATACCACTTGCTGTAATGTAGATTGTTTCTTATGGACCGAGACATGTTCAAGTGGATCCAAGCGCCCAAGTCGAGAGTCACAGCCGGACACGGCTCTTGTCTTGGTGAGCTGGAGTTCTCCGCGAGGCTCTGCGGGCCTCGCTTCACTGGAGGGCAAACCGCGCCTCCCCTGGTGCCCTGGTCAGTCAGGCTCTGCCAGACGGGGCTCCTGCGAGGTGGGAGTGGCGGGCATCTGTCTTTGTCCCGATTAGTATTGGAACCTGATGTGATGAAGAGAAAAAAAAAAAAGAGCCAAGCACACAATATAATAATTCTGGATCAAGTCAGACGAAAGGTATTATTTCCTGTGTGCAGCTATTTCATTCATTAATACCAACCACTCATTCTTAGAATAGACATGGGTGTATCATAAGAATTTGCGAAATAGTGGATATGTTTATCTATCTCCATCACCTGTCTGTCAATGTGCTGTTCTGTGGTGACTTGTAGGCTGCTGTGATGCTAGAAGCTATGCCACTGGTGTTTCAAATGCCAGGAGGCTCACAGATGGTGGACAACATTCAGTTGGGCTTCCAGTCTAAGATTCAGAAGAAAGGCTTGCCGAAGTACTTCTGAAACTTAGCCAATGAAAGCCCCGTGGGTTACCACAGAACATTGGCCAATATAGTGGCGGGAGATCAGCCTCCCAGGGTTGAAGGCACTCAAAATACACAGTGGCTGATATAATAATAATATTTATATATAAATGATATAGTCATAAATTATAACTATATAGCATTATGACACCAAATATATAATTGTATAAAATTTAAATTATAATTATAAAATAACCTAATAATAATAATAGACAGGAGCATATCAATAACCCAATGCAATGCCTTGTTTGATCACTTGACTGCTGCTCCCATGCACATTGACTGTGGTTCCAAGCAAGGTAAAACCCTCGACAACTTCAGCCTTTTCTCTGTTTCGCATGATGTCACCCGCTGGTCCAGTTGGTGGGATTCGGGTTTGCTCTACACGGATTTGTCATCCATCCTGAAGGTTAAAGTCTTTTTTTTTTT